GCATGGCAGTCTGGCCCCTTGATTAGCCGCCATCATCACAAACAAGACATCAGCGATGCGAGGTGAGGCCCCATGGGCCCCCGGGAGCCGCAGATCACAGCCATGCTAATGCGGGTCTGCACTGGCACGGTGCCAGGTGTCAGCCAGCCGGTGACAGGTGCACAGAGGGGGCGTGGGTGCCGCTGGGGGGGGCGCCGCAGTCCCTGTGGCATCACCTCAGCCTTTGTTCTCTATGCTAATCCTGCGCCGGAGCATCATCCACTGATAGGAATGTGGCGCATTCAGGAAACACAGCTCCAGCAATGCCAAGCGAGAGTGTCGCAAATACATGCGCACACACACTGTTTCTGTCGGTGCCGAGGGTCTCGTTTAGCGCCGTGACATCAGCAATGCACCACTCTGTCTCCCTTAGATCAGTGTAGCAAGGCATGGCTTTGTCACTCGTGATGCTGACCCCTAAAAGCCTAAGGGTTCACACTTCAACCCATACTATACATAATAACCACATAAAATATATATTCGTTTCATAATAGTCACTGGATTATTTATTAGTTATTGGATAATAAATCTTAAAGGCCTCATTTCATATTAACCTGAACTTCCCTCACTTTTTTATTAAATAAAAAAATTAAATGTAGTACGTAAGCATAGTTAAAGTTTCAAAATGTACCGTGCACTCCCCAGTCCGTGCAAAAGTGTAAACACTCTCTGTCAAATGACGTTTTGTTGTTTTTTTTGTTGACATCCTCTTCAGGGGACACACTTAAGTGTAAAATGGTTGTTTAAAAATGAATTCTACTCCAAAATAAGGACCCTTTAAATGGAATTTCTTAACTAAACATGGCCAAGAACAAATAGATCTTTGCCACCACCAGTGAGCATGACTCTATTTGCATGATGCTAATTGGCAGGTATTAATTTTCACTTTTTTCTGAGCAACATGACAATTTCTTTTAGATTAATAGCTGAATAATAAGACTACAGTTCAAGAGGTTAATAGTGAATGTGGTACTAGTTTCCCCAAAACAGGACAGACACTCCTTCCATCTGTGCCGAGGGTCTCATTTAACTCTAACGTCTGCGCTGTGCTGTTCTGTCTCCCTCAATCACTCAACCAGGGTGCTGTGGATGCTGAAACCAGCACTAGCGTTAACGCTAGGCCCCCAAGACTATGCATGAGACATGAGGTGGCTGAACCCTCTCAGAGATAATTAAATATCAGACCTCGCTCTTTTGTTGCCTCTGTCTCTGCTCCCGTGCCGTTACAGGCAAGTTAATCGCCTCGAAATGGTGAAATATCCCCCATTTTAAATGAAAGCTAAACCCTGAAACGGGGCTCTCTAAGGAGGGTTTAATTGGCTGTGTGGTTTTGTAATACCAAACCCAAGAGGGTGGGGAACTTTAGCGTAAGACCACCTCTGACACGCACATACACACACGCGTCATTAATCACACACTTACACACACTCACTGTGATGGGCAGGGAGCCCCTCCTCACCATTTAGCGCCGCTAGCATCGACGTGCTGCACTGCCTGGCATATAATATAACAGCTACGACTCAATTTAGCTATTTAACCTGTAATCCCTGCAATATTTATGGTAGTGTATGTGGTGGTGGTGGTTGGGGGGGATAGAATTAGGCCATTAGGCTCTCGCCGCGACTACGCTGAGAGGGAAGAAGACACTCCGCTAACTGCTAGTTGACCTCTGCGGTCCACGGCGAGCGTTTTCACCAGCGCGGACGGCGGTAATTGCTGCAAATTGAATCACAGAGTGAGTGGTGATGATTCCTTAATGAGCGCTTTTATTGGCTGCCGCAGCACGGCGTGACTCGGCCTCCGGAGTGCGGCGCCATGCGGCAGGACCCAATGGGCCATGATCAGATGGAGATTTGTGATCCTGAGGTGGCTGATGGCTAATTTCTCACCATCGCACCACACAAGCTGCTGTCGCAAAAGACATGGCTCTCTGATGGGTCATTAGCATATTTTAACTTATTTATGATGGGTCTCTCTCCCTTTTTCACTCTCTCGCGAGCTTGTTTTTGAAAGTTGATGAAATTTGTCTTTGGTCGTCATTAGGCCTGCCTGTCTGTTAGCTGACACGCTCCTTTGGCAACATATGGCACTTTCTGTGAGATGTGATAAGATGCAAATTGCCAGAGCTTGAGCGTGCATTTGTGGCAGAGTAGGAGCGCACTCAAGTCTCCCTCTCTCTCTCTCCTCACACCCCCTCGCTGTCTTTCTCTCTGTCTTCCTCCCATCTCCCATCTCCCACCTCTCGCTCTATTTAGAATAATCCCGTTCAGCCTTTAAGCAGTGACTGGAGGAATGTGTGATATTGACGAGGCGTCTTTCGGGACTTCTGAGGGACATCAATTACGTCCACTCCTGATTTAACCCAGACTACTGGGCTGAGTTCCACATACTCTGAGAAGGGGAGGGGGGTTTGTATTTTAATAGCTGTTCTTCCCCAACCCCTATTCCTCTCACCCTTACCCTCTTTCTCCTCCTTTATGCTCTCCAGCCTCCCTCTCCTGTCAGGCGTGCATATGAAGGCCGGCCAAACCAAACATGGGCAGCAGGCCTGCACGCTTCCCTCACTCTCTCCAGCAGAGTTGCACCAGCAGGAAGCCAGTCATGCCGCACAAGCCCCCAGCCACAGCCCCAAAACACACACACCCTTCAGTCAAAATAAAGCTATCACTAACCTACCCTCCCTCTGTAGAAGAATTAAAGGGGCATTCCTCTGATTTCTCAAAATTTCTGCATGATTAAGTCATTCAAAGTGGTTTGATGAGAAATGCTCTAAATGTAATTCTACAGTTAGAATTCTTCGCAGTGGTGGTGATAAGAGCCAGACATCTGAAAAGATTAATGCCTCCAAGAGCTTCCTCATAAAAACCTGTTTCATGAAGTTGGTATGGATACTGTACACAATGCCTTAGACATTGTTTTGAGAATGTTTTGGTCCAAAACATATCTTTTAAATGTGGTGTTATGAGGCAAGATAGACATTCGCCACTGTTTTACCATGATCAACATAACATATAAAACTCTGACGACACTGGTCACTTTGGATGTCACATGAAACTCGCATTGCATTGTAGACATCATGACACCTGGTTCCTATTACCACCACTGTAAATAAATCTGAGTCAGTTTCTCTACAGTGAACCATTTCAAATCAAACCACTCTGAATGACTTTCTTTGTTCCCAACGAAAGAAATGTTTAAAAGGCCAGTGAAATTAATCTTTAATGCCTTTCTATGTCCAATAACAAATTTCTCATTTTTTAATCATTATCTGAAAATCTAATCCATGCTATAATTATTTTACAAACTGCCACCTTCCGTTATAGTGTAACACTGAACACAGAAGAGTCGTGAATATTTGAGTATGCTTCATCTATATGAATTTATGAGGTACAGACAAACACATTGCACCTACTGATAAATCCATTGTAATCTCATTACAGCTGACATAGAATGGGCTGCGGTCGTAATATTTGCAAATAGTTGTCAGAGAACATCATGGCATGTTTTTGCATTTAATGTGGTTAGGGCTGGTTCTAGGGTGCAAAAGCATGCATTGGACCCTCACTAAAATGCATTTAGACAGCCTGACTAAATCCTAGCTAAGATCTGTGTGGCAGTATGACGATAACTCTTTATGTACTTAGAGCAGGTCTTGTAGTGTAGTATTGAGATTAATTAATCAACACAGTGTGTATGTAGCCTTAAACATTTGTGTGATCAATGAAAAATTGGTGCATTGTGCCGCAGTTAGCTTCCTCTGTCATTACCATACTGCATGTTTGCGAATGTCGGGCAAATTCTTCAAACATAGCGAGCAAACAGACTAACTATCATACATGTACTGATTTTGTAAAATGAATAGCATTCAAATATCAAATATAAGAGAAAGCATACCATTATGTTATGCTGTTCATAAAAAGCACCTTTTCTATGGCACCCATGCATTTTCGCTTTCACAAACTAAAGCTTGAGATAAAAGTTCATAGAATTTTAATTCTTGGTCATGTAATCATCAACCAACACAGTTTTCAATAACCATGCAGGTTTCTATTGTTATTTTTGATGGACGCTTAAAGATTTTGTTCTGAAATCAGGCCTGAACATGGTTGAAATACACCAGCCTTCTTCAGAATGTTTTTTTTTTTTTTGCCCCCTAATGTGAGTATCACTGTAGCGGCATTGTATCTTTAGATGCACAAATTCTCTATCCACTAGGTGTATTATTCATAGTGTACGCTTACATTATTGACTGTAATGCATGTTTATGAGTCTGGGGTGAAATAAACCTATCACCATCTCCCTTGTTCTTTCTTTCTGTCTCCCCATCTTCTCCCTGCATTTGCCACATACTTATCTCTATATGGAAATAGCAAGTGCATGTATGCGCGTGTGCATGTGTGGAGTTGTATATTAAAGCTTGCCTGACGTTAACATTAGCATAATGCGTTGAGGCCTTGAGGCTGTACCTGCTATCTGCATAAGGCTCCAGCCCCCAGGGAGTCTCAGGGAGTGCCTTAACACCCCCCACCCCCCCTCACACATCCGCCCAAGCCCTCCGGCCCTGATTCCAACCTAGTCACATACAGACGGATCCACTCCACTGGGGCTTTAGAGAGCAGCAGACACTGTAAGGCCAGCAATAACCTGGCAGAGTATCAGCCACCTCGGCTCTCCCGCTTACAGTGATGTAATTTTCATTTTGTCTCGTAAAATGGCTGTCACCGGAGCGTGCTGAGATGTCTCTCACGTGTTGCCTGTTTAATTTTTAAAGGGAAATGATCCATGAACCTCATCATAGAGGACTCCTCTCTTTGATTACATCCAAAGCCATTGCCACGAACAAACAGATGCCAGAATGACATGAAAATCTATTAAAGCGTGCTATCTGAACTGCCCCTAGGAAACATGTCGTGCTAATATTTATGTGTTCATTCACACCACATCCCTTTTGTGTCTTCCAGGAAAGGATGAGCCGTCCAGTTACATCTGCACCACATGCAAGCAGACCTTCACCAGCGCCTGGTTCTTGCTGCAGCATGCCCAGAACACCCACGGCATCCGCATCTACCTAGACAACCACCCGTCCAGCTGCTCCCTCACACCCCGCATGGCCCTACCCCCGCCTTTGGGGGCAGACGCCTTGCCCCGCTCTCCTCTGGCCAGCTTCCTGGGCGACACCAGCAACCCATTCCACTTGCTCCGCATGGCTGCCCCTCTGCTGCGTGAGCCTCCGCCTCCTGGGTACATGGAGACCCGCTTGCCGTCAACCCCACCTTTTGTGAGTCCTCCACCTCCACCTCGTCACCCTTTGGAACGTCTGGGCCCAGAAGAGATGGGTCTTCTCTCCCAGCATCCTAGCGCCTTTGAGCGGGTGATGCGTCTGGCCCCTATGCCCATGGACCCTCCCTCCATGGACTTCTCTCGCCGTCTCCGTGAGCTGGCTGGCAACAACAACAATAGCGGCGGACCTACGCCACCTCTCTCACCCAATCGTGTGCCCCCCATGCACAGGCTCCTCAGCCCCACTCTCTTTCAGCCCGGCTCCAAGCCAGCTGCGTTCCTGAGCACTCCGCCCCAGCCGATGCAGGCTCCTCCCAGGAGCAGCTCTTCGCCACCCTTGGGTCAAGGAGGCAAGATTAAGTCCTGTGAGTTTTGTGGCAAGACCTTCAAATTCCAGAGCAATCTCATAGTCCACCGGCGCAGCCACACTGGAGAAAGGCCCTACAAGTGTCACCTGTGTGACCACGCCTGCTCTCAGGCCAGCAAGCTGAAGCGGCACATGAAGACCCATATGCACAAGTCTGCTTCCATGGGCAGCTCGCCGGAGCAAGGCAGCCGAGACTCAACCGGAGAGGAGCCGAAGAGCAGAGACGGCAACGGCATTGGGGATGGGCCAGACAATGAAGAGGAGGATGAAGAGGAGGAAGAAGAAGAAGAGGAGGAAGAGGAGGAGGAAGAAGAGCAGCAGAATGGTAGCAGCAGGCCCGACTCTAATCTCAGTATGGACTCCGAGTTCAGCAGGAACAGAGAGAACGATTCTCGGCCCTCGCCGAATGAGAAACCACTCTCTGCCGAGAGAGTGACAGAAAGCCAATACAACAACCTTGACAATCACCTGAGACTTCCTCTGGGCACCAGGCCACGGGAAGAGACTGGCACAGCAGACCCAATGACCAGAGAAGCAGGCGCGGGAGGCCGACCCATGGTGAATGGCAGGGGCTGTGGCCCAGAAGACTCCATCCCTGGTTTGTTCCAGCATAAACCCATGCCGATCTCCAGCCCTAGCCTCTCCGGCTCCTCGGCTAAGAGGATCAAGGTGGAGAAGGACCTGGAGCTGCCACCCATGCCCCTCATCTCTTCGGAAAACGTGTACTCTCAGCTGCTGGCTGGCTATGCTGCCTCGCGCCACTTCATCAGGGAACCTTTCCTTGGTTTCGGCGATTCCAGACAGTCGCCCTTTGGGACTTCTTCTGAGCACTCCTCCTCAGAGACAGGAAGCCTGCGATTTTCCACTCCCCCAGGAGAGCTTCTGGAAGGTGGAGCCTTGTCTGGCCGGAGTGGCAGCAGCACACCCCACCTCCATGTGCGGGGCCCAGGTCCCGGGAGGCCCCCCAGTTCCAAGGAGAGCCGAAGGAGTGACACATGCGAATTCTGTGGCAAGGTGTTCAAAAACTGCAGCAACTTGACGGTGCATCGGCGCAGCCACACGGGAGAGAGGCCCTACAAGTGTGACCTGTGCAGCTACGCCTGCGCCCAAAGCAGCAAGCTCACCCGCCACATGAAGACCCATGGGCAGTTTGGGAAGGAGGTGTATCGCTGCGACATCTGTCATATGCCCTTCAGCGTGTACAGCACCCTGGAAAAACACATGAAGAAGTGGCACGGGGAACACTTGATGAGCAATGAGGTCAAACTTGAGCAGGCCGACCGAGCCTGAGGCTAGGTGCACTAAAGCACACTCTTTCAGACTGATACAATGGGTTTAGCTGGATAATCTTTTGGATAAATCTGACTATAGATTTTTTCGTTTATGGAATGATTTGATGTTTTTTTGTTTTTAGTTTTTGTTTTGTGTTTTTTTTTCTAGTGAAACAAACTGCCACCTGAGAAATAGAAACATTAGTAAATGTTTGTGGATGAATTTCAAAAAGCCCTGCTGGCATTCCCAGCGACCAACAGAGGAGTTGTCCATTAAGAATCCATGGAGCCTTTCTACTGTGCAATAATTTCTGTATTTATTGGATTATTTCGTAATGATACATGGCATGTGCAGGTACATTATCAAGGGGTTTTTAATACATTCCTTTGTTAGAATTTTATTTTTCGGATGCCATTTTATTAGATATGACAGATACTGAGATTTTGGCATTCAGCCACCTTTATGTTTGAGCAATTTCCTAAATGGGAAAAAAAACTTATTCTGCTAAATTCTGAGGAAGAGGTCAACTTCTAAAAATCAGAGAGGGTTTTTTTGTGTACTACTGTTGTTTGCAGTCCCACCAGACTCGAGTGACATTTTTAAAGAGTAAAGCACTGAATGTCAACTAGACAATAAATATTAAACTAATTTGAGTGATATGGAAGATCAGGGATGTCTCAGGCAGCTGGAGGACAGTTTGACTGCATTTTAATGATTCCTTTTTGATGACCATCAAGCTTATATGACTTTTTATTTTTTAAGCAACAAAAATATTTCTTTCTGACCACAGTACATTCCTTTAGACAGTGTTTTATCTCTATCTCCGAAGGCTGGTAATGTGATACGGCCTATGTCTTACTTTTAATGAGCTAAATGTTTACATTACCACAAACTAACCTCCATACACAGTTTTCACAGCAACCATGGAGTGTATATTTTCATGAGTTAATGAGGTTTTTGCTTCGGTAAACATACTCACACGTTTACTGTAGGCTGATTGACTTAAGACGTCTGGCTGGTAGAAGTTGCGAGACGTTCTAGGACTCCATATTGAAAACTAATTTGAACAAAACATCAGCCAGGACCGTTCAGTTGTCTAGTCTCACAGTATTATACATTTGATATTGACAAAATTGTCATGAACGGGGCACTTAGGACCAGAGCATTATGGAATTAAATGATTTGATCCATTCCTTTGCTGTTCTCCACACTTCAACTCAGAGTGTTGCTGCAGCCTGAACACATTCCCGTTCACTCTTCCCAAAGCATCTCAGCCTGCTGCTCATTTTATGGTTTTATTTTTAGTACTGTGTTTATCCCACGTTAATCTTACAATCAGCACTTGAAAAAAAATGCTGGGTTTTGTTGACTGTTTACTTTTTTTTTGTTTGGATTTTTCTTGGTTTCAACCAAATTATTGCCATATAAGTTTAGAGAATTTAGAGAAAACATGATGGATGATTCCCGAATTCAAAATTTTCTCTGTAAGTATAGTTTATACCACACTTAGTTTGTCTCTTAGTTCATTGTCCTCCAGATACAACTTTGTATATCTTTTGAATAGCGTGAGGAAAAAAGCCGTGGCTGTAACTTGAATGACAGTGACAGATTTAAATGAAAAAGAGATGCAAAAGGGGTTTTAGTCAAAGAGGGCATGCCAAATTCAAGTGCCATTCCTGATACCCCTGTCCTGTAGTGTTTACTACCAATCAATCTGACATGCACACAGTGCGTATTCTCTGATGCAACTAAGATTCCCGCAACACGGTGAAAATCACATTCCTAGCAAATGCGGCCAATCCGGTACCAGATTCACATTTGTAAAACAAAATCCATTTAAATGACAAGATATCACTTTAGGTTAAATAAAGAGGTTAAATATTTATGCATTTGATGTGTGTAGTATGTGTGATACCTTTCAAAATAAGACGTAACGCACAGGTTTGTTTTCCACCACCAAGATGACCAAGCTGTCTCGTCACTGATACGTTGCAGCTGGACTCTCGCCAGTAGCAACTGAAGAAAATTGACAATGGGAAAAGAGAAAAAAATGACACTCTGTCTTTAAATAATGTTTACAGTGTTGAAGTACAAGGATAAATGAATTCCTGTGTAAATGTGTTTTAAAAGAGAAAGAAATGTTCTCTCATTTTTTAACCACTTTGTTCTGAATGCCATAGCAGGGTTTTGTTTGTTTGTTTATTTTTGTTTTGTTCATTTTTTTGGTGCAGGGTTTTTTTTTTTCTTTTTTTTTCCCATAGATTTCAATGAATATACACCTATATGTTTTGTTTTGTTCTGTTAAATACACAGTGTATTTGTATACCAGTGACATTTTATGAAATGATGCAAAAAATCTTTATATTTTGCAGTCCATTATAAAATTGTGAGTCTATCCAAATGTTTTTTGTCTCTATATCTGTTCATAATTTTGGTAATCGATCCTCACAAGGATGTAAAAAAAAAAGGAAATAAAAATGAATGAAAATTCAGCGTGTTTGGTGAATTGATGTAAAAAAAATTATTAGGGGAGTAAAATAATCTTTATTGTTGAGAAATATTTTTTTAAAGCACTGAATTGTCCAATGCAGGCAAATGTTATTCATGACAGGTATTATACTGTTGCTTGCAGAATGGATGAAGAGGCTTTAAAGGCTCAAATAAATCTCACCCAGTTTTCATTACCACCACAGAAGCGTATGGAAACCTCAGACAGGGCTTCTTAGTTCATGACCCCTGACCTAAGGAGCTCACTAATTTGTGAAACCTTTCTTTATGTTGCACCTGCCCGTCCCCCTTTCCCTCTGAGAGATGCTCCAAACACAATGACTCGTCTGACCTTTCTTGACCCCGTCAATGTTGCCTCGTCCCGTCTCCTCTTTTGTGAGACAGGTGGGCCTTTGTAGACCCAACAATGTTGCTTGTAAGGGAGGGGAACTACTTGGGAACCTCTCTTAGTCTATTTACACTTGACCAATCATAGTCCTTTGCCTTTGAATGAGGCTCCCACCACAAGACCTACAGACCCAAAACAACCTCCACGGTGATTTTTTTTGCAGTAGCGAACAATTAGTCCGTAGCTCCTACGTCCTGAAATGTCTTCCAGCCTTGCATGCCGATGTGACCGTCCCATCAAAGAGCCAGTCACGGATATGGTTAGACCGAGGCTGGACATCTGGGACACATCTTTAGCCCTCAAACAGACTCTGACAAAAGATTAAAAGACAGCAGATTCCCCAAGCCTCTCTCGTGGCACCAGTTTCGCCTCGAGGTCTCACCATTTTCACATTCTAATTACGCGACTCTGCCACACCAATGAATTGCCAAGCACTTTTGGCTGCTGATCTACACAAGCTGGTGTCATAGTTCACATCCGACATGTCATTTAGGGGCCCTTTTAAGCTTGAGTAATAGAAGGTCCCACTTGCTCTGTGAGGCCAATGCCATGGGAAGACAGTGGGCCCTCTGCAGTGGTGAAGTAGCCCCTCATTTGTCAGTCCAAAACGACTAGGACGTGAATGGGTCACACACAAGGAGGCTTCAGGAAATGACGGCCCTTGCTAAAACCACGGTCCAAGGGAACAGGGTGTCAGCAGGGCCTGCGGTCAGGGCCTTGACCGCACAGATCCACCGCCGAGTCCTGGGTTTTTTATGGGATCACAGGGACCATAACCCGCCGGGCCCCTGTGTCTATATCCAGTTACTAATCTCCATTCCCTGACCAGTGGCCAACGAAACAGCACCCAGCAAAGAGCTTTGCCCTTAGGCAGGGGAGCTGGAGACCAGAGAAAATCCTCCCCAGCTGGGTCGGTCTGGGAACAGGGAGGGCACTGAGAGAAGTTTCTGAAAAAGGATGGGCAGGAGACGGCTGGAAGTGTGTGGTCGCTCCGCGGTCACTCAGCAGCTGTGGATCCTTCCTCAGTAGAGATTTGACCCAGAGGAACAAAGGCACTACAGAGCATCTCGCAAAGCACTTCCTGACCGAAACAGAACAAAGAAAAACTCATCTAAGAAAGCATATTATGTACATATTATAGTATGGAAACAGAATAAATCATGATACTTGGAGATTTTAATGATACATATGTATCACTTATTATGCAAGCCCATGTCTGCCAGGTAGAAGAGGAAAAAAATGTCTCCTATAATTTTTTTCTCCTCCGTAGTTTCTGCCCAAAGCATGTCCACATTTCTGAATAAGTGTCTTGAAATAATTACTTATTTTCTCAAAATATTGACTGACTAGGAAATTATGTATTTAATAGTGAGTATATCAAAACAATTATTTATTTTCCAAAAATATTGACAAACTATGCCGAAATGATGATTTATTTACTCCAAATATTCACATGCTTTGTAGAATTGATGGCATACTTTCGAAATAGTGATTCATTATGTCAAAATAATTACTTTCTCAAAATATTGACATAATGTTGAAATATTGAACTTTTCTGAATATAATGACTACCTTTCATTATTATGTATGTTTAGAATAATGATATACTATGTTAAATTAATGACACTTTCAAAATAGTGATCACTATGTTAGTATAAGTGCTTATTTTCTCCAACTGTTAACTTACTATGTTGAAATAATAAATTATTTTCTTCATATATTGACTACTTATTGACAACTTATTTTATCAAAATATTGACCTTCTATGTCAAAACAGTTACTTATTTTCTCAAAAATATTGACTGACAAGGTATAAACTTATTCTGACAAAATGTTGACTTACTATCCTTAGGTTATTATCCTGAGATGCTTACTTTTTATTTTTATTAACTCACTGTGTCATGTTATCAAAAAATTGTTTTTCTGAGGTTAAAAAGTAAAAAAATTGCACAATGCATCAGTAGTTCCACATAAAAAAGCTTTAATAAATCACTTTACATATTGCAAAGCATTACATCCAATTATATGGAGTCAATTGTTGAGATTCAAACTCACAATATTCTGACAAAAGGGTGAAACCGCAGACAGCAGTGTCACTCTCTTTTTAATGAAACATGCAGTTGGTCAGTTTCTTTCAGCACTGAAAGTACCCACAATAGGCTTTGCTAGGTTTGATATCACATCATTATAACAATGTCATGTCATCACATCATGCACCCCTAAGATGAACTGGTTATGATGAGCATTTTGCTGCTCATTGACCATGCAAATGCATGTCAAAATGTCAACCAGCAAACAATGTGCTTTAAAACATGTTATTACCAGCCTGCGAGTTCTTGAGAGACCAGAGGATACAATAGAGAGTCATGTTGTTTTCAGACCCTATTGTGCACATGGATGATACCTTTCCATACTGCAATATTAATTCACCCCTGCTGAACTATTTTATTTGTGTAAATGAAATATGAGTTTGGGTCACATTGACACAGCTTCTGGAGATACTGGATGACACACTGGAATAGGAGAACAGCGAAGCATAGCCTTTGTAATGAAAAAAAAGTCAGAGTAATTGCTTTTAGCCTATCCAGGCTGTAGTCATCTGAATTCCTGAACCTAGACCTCCCTTGAGCTTCCAAACAGAGGTGAATTACTGAGCTATTTGGGTGGTTGTTAGGGGGGGTCAATGTAATTGTTGACATTGGACTCTGCTCTTGTCCCAGCAAAATATTAAATCTTCTCATTTGATTTGGGCCGTAATTATGTCGTAAAAGTAAACTGGCTGTGAAACGGCGAGCCCCGCCAGTCGAATTTGCTTTCATCAAGTACGGACTGGCTTAATTACATAGCGCGCCGTCGCCTGTCTTTCACTGCCTGTTATGCTTTCAGAGTCGTTGCACTCCTGTATTCGGAGCTAATCACGAGGCGATTGTGCCGTTTGCAGTGACCAGAGAAAGGATTTGACACCAGACTGCACATGGCAGAGTGAGGAATTTCAAGGCTAGTTAAGCGTCTGCTCCAGCTGGACGTCTAATGATCAGGCACTCAGCGCTCAGGAGCCTTCAAATATGACGCATACTGCATATTCCAAAGTGATGAGTCAGTGGAGTTATCATAAATCAAAGCGAAATGGAATTTTCAGCTTCAGTTTATGGTATTCATATATATATATATATATATATATATATATATATATATATATATATATATATGTATAAATATATATGTATAAATATATATATATATTTATATATATATATATATATATATATATATATTTATATATATATATATATATATAAGCTGTCTACATATACACCACTGCTGTCAGAACAAAACCGTGTATCTCAATTTTTGTCGTTTTTCAGTTTTTGCAATAATTTGAAAATGCCTGTTGCCCTTAACATTGCATGCCTTAACATGCATGCAAAAGAAATGCCCCAAAGTTACTTGGAAAAACGTCTGGTTCCACTGACTTACATTAAAAGGAAAGCAGGTTTTTTCCTTCTCCTGTAAAGTTACCAGTTAACAGAGAGAGAGAGAGAGAATGTATATATATATATATATATACAGACAATTATCCCAATACTTTTGGGAAGAGCTGGAGTGATCCAGAACTAGTCGTCCAACATCAGTACCTGACTTCACTAATGCTCCTGTGGCTGCAGTCAAATTCTCACAACAATGTTCTAACATCTGGTGTAAAGCCTTCTCAGAAAAGTAGATGCTTTCACCCAAAAGGCTTTCAAGCTCTCTATTAGTATCCTTTATTTCATAAGATATGGTGGATGAGCAGGTGTCTACAAACTACAGTGTTTGTGGAAAGGAGCCCATAACGTTTCCCTGTAACTGTACTTTTTACCGAGCAGATTTAAAAACTCGGAAATCAGTTCTATAGGCCAGTCAAAACAAAGCACTACTCCAAAATGCTAGGCCGCTAATGTGTTCAGACAACATGTGCAAATATGTCAGAGGCAGTGGAGACAGAGGGAGACAATACGGGCGCACATGAAGAAGATATTTGGCCCATTTATCATCTCTGTTCAGTTTCAAATGCATTAAGGAAAACAGCATTATTATGAGCTGCCAAATGTGCCTCTCACAGCCTGTGGAAACCTCCACTGTTCACAAACTCAGTTTTCAACCTGACGAAGCAATTAGCAAACTGACTGACTTTAACTAAACAGGTACTGTGTTACATTACTACTTTCCAATTAGATCATTCTTTGTTGCTTTACAAGTATGACAGCTCTTTATTACATTTAAAGATGCTGCTTATATGTTCTATTGTGAGTGCTAGTTAGCTGGCTAATTTAGAAAGCTAATGTAACAAGATAATGTTCAAGCTATAGCCCTGCTAGAAAAACAGCACAGTTCAGCATAGATGGAGACCAGCAAAACCAACATATGTTGTGTTTTGGATGCTGGTATGCTGATCAACAATCAGTATCTGACCTTATTAACACTCTAATGCATGACCATGCTGGGTGACCAGCTAAACCAACACTATTACAGTACCAGAGCAGCCTAAACCAGTACAGACCAGCTTAGGCCAGCATGGAAGGCATGCTAATGTATACTGTACAGCAGGGTACAAAGAAAGGTATACTTCTGTCATATTTTATTTACTAATTAATAGCAGAATATGCTGCAATGAGTCTTTTTAATCTCCAAACGTCGGTGACAACACATCTGGTTAGCCTGCCGGTCATTTCAAAACATGGAAGTAAGGCACTTCACAAGTTATCTAGAGGACCTTCCTCATATCTCAGGCAGTGATGTAGACCAATTTATAAAATGATATACACACAACACACACCAAGCACAGGATATAGGCTGTTCTTCGAAAATTACATTTTTGGGCTTTCAAGTTACTTTAACATAGCCAGCTAACTTAGCTAACCTAGCGAGCTAACTCAGCTAACTCG